ATACAAGGAAACGTAGCGGCGGTGATGGGAAATGCCAACTCCAGTGCCGGATGGTGTAAGCACAGCTTCTATGGCAGTAACAGCAGAGCAACCCGCCGAACCCTTAGTTTACATGGTAGTACGACCGTTGCACTGGCACCCCCGTCCATTATAGTGTCATGCTGAAACGCTTGTTACATTCTCTCTGCTGAAGGGAGTTTGGCTGTCACAGCGGGATTTCGACGATGCAGGGAGCGCATACACCATCGACCTTGTTTCGCTCTTTATTGGATTGTTTTAGGTCCTCTCATTGGATACGCAATTCCAAAAAGCAGACAAATGGGTCGGCGTGGCATCGTAAACCTTAACGTTTTTTAGCATCATCGTCAAAGCCGGCGTGGGGGTCGCTTTGCCAGCTCCACACTACTGAATCCGGTTTTGCGGAGAATGATAGCAATTTGGCAGCAATCGACGCCAGCAACGAGCAGTATAATCCATTGGAATCTCAATGCTTGAAGCCGAGAGTATAAAGAACATGCATTTTGACAGCGTTGCACACGTCGTGGAGCCTTCCGATTTATATCATGTCGTTGGGGGATGCAATAGTTTACGCCAGTCCTTTTGCTTTAGCCATGTACCTCATCAAAGAGAATGCTGATAGCGACTCACGAGCTGTGACAGCTAGCAGCGCGACTGAACCATTAGTTCTTGACACCGATGGAAGTATATCACTAGCAGCTGTATTGTAAGTGGGTTCGACCAAGGAGCAGAAATAGTAGCAATCGAAAGGAATAATTCTACAAGATCGACAAGCGGGTGGTGCTACGATTTCAGAAGAAGCAGGACATGTGAAACAGATCCGGAGAATTAAATCGCTTTTGAATATGTTGAAGAATACGGGTGGAAAAGATGTGGAAATCGGCAGAGACGTGTCACTTGACGATGTTAGTGCTGCAGGCAGGACCAAGTTTGGCCGGAGACTGATAATGAATAATCATATGAAGCCTGGGGGCAGATATCACTTACGGATTTACAAGCCTTGATGCGCTTCATCGTGGATAGCTATCAATTTTCGAGTCAATTGCGCCAGTGAATTGTCTCAACGTCTCCAATGCGTAGTTGCAACAGAAGACTTAGCTGTCTTGCAAATAGATTTGGACGAGCTATCAAAAAATCGTATTAAAATTATGGAACTCGTTATGACTCGAATCAGATAATAAACACTGATCGCTACTACATTTCAGTGCAGCTTCTTGCGGCGCTGTGCCTTAAGGGCCTCTACGGTCGATGAACTATTTGCGGGAACAGTGGAGTTCCTGCATCGTGTCGTCCTAAAATGAAGGAGCAACATCGCGGGCAGTACCGGCCAGTGATTTTGGTCGGACATGGGAGGATTGCAGTGTTGTGGTTTGACAGTGCGGTAGTAAAATTGATCTCAAATGCTGACAAGCCGTCTGAGACCGAGCTTACACGAAGTCTCGGAAATCAGCTGCAGCCGTTTAATGCTCAATCGTGTGTATCCCATTACAATGCAATCGCGCAAGGTGTCGCTCATCTGGATCAATTGCGAGGGCGAGTTTTGTCAGCAGACGGTCAAACAGTTAAGAAATGATATAGTAAATTGGAATGGAGTTCGGCCCGTGTGAATGCATACATGTCAAGACGACTGATTTTGATATGACCAATTATCGCGGTTTTTCGTTGTTCAACTTGCAAGGGAGCTAACGCAAGGTAAATGGATGGAGACGCCTAGCGACAACACGATGGTCTACTCACACAGGGCCGAGGAGACAATTACAACGCCAATCGAAGGGGCACCTATATGGCAATGTGGCTTGTCAGGACTTCCCGTAGTGAGCAGCCCACAACAACTTGTGATGCGCTGCGTTCGAAGCAGCTTTTTGACAAAAGGCAGCGGCACCGGCACTGCGTAGTATGAAGGTGGGGAGACCGATATCCCACCGTTGTAACAAACCATTGCACGCTACATTGCGTAAGTCTCTGTTAGATTGTGCATACAGCTGCTTTCGAGGCTTACTCTTATCAGCAGCCAGTACAGACTTGTTAAAAAATATGCCACAAGTTTTAATTACCCCAGGGTCTTTTCTCAAGAGGAGGGAACCTGAATCAAAGCCCGTTGTTCCAGCGAAAACTGAAGGCCGAACGAGATGCAAGAACACCTCAAACAGAATGCATACATGTACATGAAAGCCATGATACCGCTGTTTAGTTGAGCAATGTAATTTACAATCAAATGCTTTCATGTCTACTTTCGTTAAGTATATATACAGGAGCATTTCTTGGTGTCCAGTTCACAGCAACCTTTACAACGCCATGCCGTTGCCAAAGGCCGCAAAACTGTTTAGCCAGCTGATATTATGTCGGGGGCAGATCTCGCTTGTGAATGCAGCAACCCAGGCGGCCTTCATGAATGAAAGCTCATTTGTGATGTAGATTTGTTGCGGTAGGATCAAAGCACAAGTTATTCCCAAATATAATGCTAACGCTGGAAAACTGAAATATTATCGAAAGCTCAATGCGTGTCACACCTTCTGCGTAGGGAAGCATTCTCTTCCGTTTCCAGTATTCTGCAATACTGGAAACGGAAGAAAATGCTTCCCTAAAATCCCGTTACAGCGATCGACCAAATCACGTCGTATCTTCATTCAACTCTCACTCGAAATGGTTTTAAAAGTTCAATTTGGATCAATACGTTACCTAATCCAGCGCCAATGCCCATGGACATATCCACAGCTCAAATAGCTTTAATTACCTTTACTGCATCAATCATCGCAGGAACACAGCAGAGCAGTAGCTCACCAACATTCAAATTATGCAAACTTGGCGGATTGACAATTTCCTGTCTCGACACGTATTTAAACATTGCACGCACGAGTTCACAGGCCTCCTTGGACTCTATTGCTCTGGACGTGAGCGTGGGTTTCGACATCTTCTTCTTTGCTTGGCTTATCTTTTTCGCTGGCTTCTTCTCGGGGTTGACCTTCGTCTTTTCCGCACGACAGGCAACCATCATCTTCTTTGCAGCTGCAATATATGCTGCAATCTTGTCCTGCGTTGAAGGGCGCGACAGAAGATGCCGCGCCGGAGTAGAAGTCGTCGCCCTCACCGTCTTCATATGTGTGGTCTGCACGTCCGCATACGCGTGTTCCCCCTCCTCCCTGGTGTTCACAATACCTCTGTCGCCAAAATAGGCGTCAGTCTCACGCTCCCTGTACAAATAAGCCTTATGCTACGCTACCGTGAGGTGCCGGGCCTCCCCACGTTTGCATCCGAGCCGCGCAAAAATGCTTCCGACTCGCTGCGTGTTTCGCGAGAAGCAACCATCTTCTACCTCTCGGCTTTGTGCCAGCTAATCTCGAAACGAATGAGTGGCGGCTGGTCACAGCTGCGACAAATATGTGAACAGTTCTTGTGAAGAGTGCAGGGTCTTTGTGCTAGAATTTTGCCTAACCCTGTGCATTTCACATTCTTTAACCAGTCGTATAATACAGTGTTGGCAATAACGACGTTGCAACAGGTGAAGCAACGTGATTTACTTTTTACCACCCGTGGTAACGTTTTTACGCGTTTTTACACGTTTTTACGGATCTCGAACACAAGACAGAATCCTTCATCAGTTTATTTTGTGTTAGCGCGTCATGACGTCCCACGACAAGGAGCTGGCGCGTCTCCGGACGTGTAGTGGCAAGCTCATTTTGCTGGCTGGAATCTTGGGTGACGCCGCTGTAGCTCTGGCTCAGTGGCAATTCATGGCAAGGTGAATACGAATCACAGCAGCCGCTCAACCAAAACGAGACGATGTGCACCAACATCACGTTCGGACTGCCGTTCGACGCCGACAAGTACGAGGACGCTCTGCGCGTGAGCTTACTTAAGACGTACCCTGACTGCTGGAGGCCGTACGGAGATCGGTGTGAAGGGCCTCAATCTTAGTAGCAGCCACCGCACTCGTGTGGCCATCGCTTGTGCGGTGTATCAGGACGTCGGCATTTATCTGCTGGAAGCCGTTCTGTCTGCAGTGGACAGCCATGTGGGCACCAACATCTTCAAGGCGTGCTTAAAGGAGTCGCTGAAGGGCAAGCTGGTGCTGCTAGTGGCGCACTCGCTGAGCTTCGTGAGCCATTGCGACCAGGTCGCTGTGATTGCTGACGAAACAATCATCGAGCAAAGATCGTTCAAGAAGCTGATGATGGTGTCGAATAGTGAGAATGAAGAAGACAAGGAGGACATGACGTCAGCAGGGTGTTTAGAGAATAACTTGGCGCTTTCGAGTGATGAGCGATGAATTCCAATGATTCAAATGCTACATATACTTGGTAGCCAACGTTGGCAGCTTGTATTGAAAAAACTTATAAGAGCGCTCTTTACAACTTGGCACAGTTTACCTATATCTACGAGAGAGGAAGCTTTAGCGTCCAGTCAGCTTTTACGGCGATGCTGCTACAGCAGGCAGCTCCACCCAGCTTGAAAACAGCGTTTCTAGCGTAACCTGTTGAGCTCTCAAACCCGTCAAGAGCTTTCCCTGCGGATACGATGGAATACTTCATCTGGAAGCTCTTGGCTTCGGTTAGCTACAGGAACTGGCTCCAGCTCTGGGTCGTAAACATACCATTCATCGTCACCGACGTTATTCACAATATTTTCTCCATCGTCTTCTAGATCGACGATGGCGTCCAACCAGAAGTCCACTGCTCCAACAGTCTCCATGTAGTCGACATCAGTAACGTCAGCCAGAGTGGACAGCGAGGTTGCAGGATCGGAAACTCCGTGCATCTGCTGTTTTGGTCTCTCTGCAGGGTTAACAGGCTTCTTCTGTCTTCTACACTCGCCGATATCACTTTCCCGACGATTGCGCTCGCGGACCTCATTTCGAATGATGCCGATGAGTCGAGCTTTATCAAACTTTAGCTTATTTCGCCGTGGTGTCTGTATCAATCCCAGCTCGCTAAAGTAGCGCTCGCATGTCGCAGTGTTCACTGCGACTGACAGAATCACTTTCGCTAGCTGAGGAAGTTTACTGCCCTTGACGTACCACGAATCTGTAACGTGGACCCAATAATCAATTACCCCATTCGGTTGAAGGACACCGGCCTGGTCAGTGAAGTCAGTGTGCTTTTTCGGGGTAAATTTGCCACGCAACCACTTGTCCACATCACCTACGAGTCCGTTGCTGTTGATATCAACATAGCGGCGATAGTAATAGTCAGCAGCAGCGGAGACGCCGTCTACTGACATTAAAATGACAGTATTGTCGTGAGCTTGGATTAAGGCACGCGTATGGGTCACGTAGAGCGGGTGCAATGCGAAAGCGAGAAGCATCAGCGGTTGCTCACAGTTCGCCCATCGCTTCTCCACCACTGGGACTAGATGAGAAGCGTATGCACTGGCAACAAAGGCAGCATGTATTTTTCCAAAGCACCGCACGACGTCCGCCATTGTGTTGTCATCTTTTTGTAGTCGATAGGATGCTTCCTACAGCGGCCGGATGACACGCTCAGCATCGATTAAGTTTCTCCAGAACAGCGGGTCGCGAAATACATGTAGCGTTGTAGGGAATTCAACATCATATCGATATCCGTGGGCCAGATCTTCTAACGCCGATCTAACGCGAAGTAGGCTTGCAGAGCATGCCTGCATGCTATTCCAGCGGGTCTCACACAGCATAATAAAAGCCAAGGTTTCCCCATACATTACATAAACGCGCTCGTTCGCACGCACGAGCCACTTTGCCGATGAACTGTTTAAACTTGCCATCGCAGAAGCTGCCTGCTTCGTTACTGTCTTAAACACTGTCTTCAAAACGGCTTTAACCAAGTTGTTCACGTCATGAGCGAAGCACCGTAAAAACACAATATTTGGCCATCTTAAGGCCAGTATTCGTCTGGCCCTTGCGCATTGACCCGCATCGTCAGTAACGACGGCACCAATAATCCATCCTAGTACCAACGCTCTCATAAGTGATCCCTCCATCTGCTTGGCTATGGCAATGTCATGGTGAGCTGAGTCGACGGGTAGTAACTCAAACTGGACAACAATGCCAAACATGCAAAGTTGGCATGTAAGAAGGTGACGTCGAGCGACATTCTGGTATACGTCAGAAAGGTAATTCATCCGCCCGCCAGTATCCTCTTGCTTCTCTCACAGGCTCTCATTTGACGCAGTTTCTGCGCTTTCTGCATTAATTTTTAGAATACGACCACCGAGCTCTTTTCTTGTAGGTAGTTCATAGCGCGGCTGCATCCGTGCAAACAGCCTCTTGGTTGAATCGCGCTCGATGAAATAGTCTGGTAGCGGGCACTCAGCTTGAAACTCTAGAAGATCACGCTCAAACCTATGTTGCTCGTCCATAGACATATGAAATCACTCATCCGTTTTTGCCGTTTTGCTGCGGTGCTACTCGAAGATCCAATTGACGAGATGGACCGCACAGACGAAATTACAGGTAGGGTCGTAGCAACAGCCTCCGGTCGGTGGTATGGACAGCGCTTTAGATGACTACAATAAGCGTCGGCACGATCACGAATTTACTCCGGTGCTGCCACGTTGCCGGCGCTGTTGCCATGCGCGGCTTGGCACTTTTTGCAGACCCACCAGTGGTGCTTGTCGGATACGCTTCCATCCTTCTGGACAATGGGCACTTGGCTCTTGAAGAAATGACTACGTTCTTCGGAAGCTGGGGCAGGCATCGGCCAGAAACGGAAGGTAAGACGGGCTCAAAGTTATTGTATGAACGACCAGGAAGTTAGAATCTGTGATCCTGCGGCGAATAGCAAGCCACACTCTACGCTGCAAAGTTCCCTTAGATCAAAATAGGATCTTTTCTTATCTGCAGGAGGACACACACTACCACGAACAACCGAAATGGCTTACGAAACAACGCGTAATAAGTCCGTAAAAACGTTCTGACGGGGGTTATATCTTTACCGACTTCTTACCAACGTTTCAACGCGTATGAACGCTTTCAACAAAATTGCGTTTCTACGTCGGTTGCCAACACTGCAGTCTCACGCTCCCTGTTCAAATAAGCCTTATGCTAGGCTACCGTGAGGTGCCGGGCCTCCCCACGTTTGCATCCGAGCCGCGCAAAAATGCTTCCGACTCGCTGCGTGTTTCGCGAGAAGCAACCATCTTCTACCTCTCGGCTTTGTGCCAGCTAATCTCGAAACGAATGAGTGGCGGCTGGTCACAGCTGCGACAAATATGTGAACAGTTCTTGTGAAGAGTGCAGGGTCTTTGTGCTAGAATTTTGCCTAACCCTGTGCATTTCACATTCTTTAACCAGTCGTATAATACGACTCGTATTTACATAATGTGTGGTAAAATGTCATTTTGCAGTTTTTCAGCACATGTCACAGTACAACGTGTAAGTTTGGAGGGGGAACCCTAACTGGGTCGGTCTTTTTCTCTTACTTTAAAAAAACATTGGGATTGATAGCTAGATTTACTATAATTCTTTGCCGATGTAGTGTAATATGCTAATCAACTACTTGTGAACATGGTTCAGATGCACTGCATCAGCCTTTAAATTACTAAAACTGTAAGTTACTACACTTGTTTTAGTTACGCTAAAACACTTTTACAAATTCATTATTTTCTCGGCGTACTGAGTCACGATGATTCCTGCTTTCGTCCTGCGTGTATTTTCGTCCCTAGGGTTAAAACGAGAAATTACTGTAAGTGGCACCCGACGCAACGAAGAGGAGTATGTGTGTAAGCTCTTTCACTGCGTCATTTCTCTCTTAGTCATTTATGTTTACTTCGCTCTGTCAAATTATTGGAGATATCTTCAAAAAGGAGGTACTTTATTGGGTGGGCTTTCGACACTGCAGCTTGTGCGTAGATGATAAGACGTTGATCGGGTAAGACTAGCACAGCATCAACCGCAGGGAAAGGCATCAACAGAGGAAAATACATCATCAATTTATTCTCAATTCTAGATGACGCTTGGATAAACATTGCTTTTGCATCAAATGGACCCAATCGCGACAAGGTGTTGCTGCTGCCATTGATCGGCTCGAACGGTCTTACTGTTAGCGCCCTAGAAGCGAGGCTTGGAGCAGGACTCTCTCGCGTCTCCTTCTTACGCCACGAGAGCAAATCTTCTGTTGGGATCTTCAACAAATAGTAAAGTTTGTCAGATTTAAAAAAAAATTAAGCTCGAGCTAGTAATTGCCTCCACAACCAAGAATGAATATGCCAAACGAAACTCGTCGGGTTCGTTCTCCACGCGTTATAAATGTAGTATAATGTGCTTTTCATGCACTTCCTGTCATCAACGTGGCGATCCATGTGCTCCAAACCATCGACAGTTTTTAGAGCAGCATTCTCGACATGTCGAACCAGCTTACCCAAATCTTCACTGGAAAACACTATTTTAGAAATACCCCCCGCAAGATTGAATATATGTAGCCACTCGTTGTGGTCCTTCAAACTTAATGCATCGTCCACGCCCTGGCACTCCGTTTTTTGGGCTACGAATTAAAGTATAGTGTAAAACGTATAAGTTTATCGTGTGTCCTTATGATGTGTTTTCAAATCTTTGAAATGAACTTCTTTTGTTTTTTCGAAATCGTTGCAGGCCAGGATTATTTACATGGAAGCGCACATGCTATTAATCATGTCCTCGTCCATGATTAAAATTAAATACATTACCGCTCTCCTATTTCCGAAATGAATATATCGAAAGCATTCATTTTATTTTGTGCCGCCTCCAGATAAGATGCCCCAGGACGCGGTTACCGCTAATGCAACCGGCACTCGCGGACGCGCCGACGAACGTCGGCTCCTGCCCCGATACCGAGGCTCGGACCTTTCCAATACGCAGTGGGGAGGCCAAGTGGCGCCACCTGAACTCCTGGTTGGAGGCGGCGATAGCCCTTTGAATGGTGGAGAGAGCAGTGACTGCGAAATGGATGAATCGGAAGGTCATGCGAGTGCTGGAGAGGCGGAGAAATACGTAGGGGCTGGACGTCCGTCGGAAACAGATGGAACGGATGATGATGACGCTGCAATTACGTCTGTGGACCCGCCGGTGAAGTATCACGGCAGTTGGGAAGCTTGGCAAGAATATTTTGAGGACTACTGGCAACGGACGCTGCAAGTAATACCAGTCAAAAATATCATGTCCAGAGCACAACGCAACAAGAGGCTCAAGAAGAAGAAGAAGGGTGAAGACGAGTCCCAGTTGGTGCCCGACGGCTACGACCCGTACCAGCGGACGTATATTTGCACTCATGGATGGAAGAAAAGGAAGTCCCGCAGCGAAGAAAGTCGTCATAGACAGCATATCCGTCTTACGAATTGCCCGTTTCGTTTCGTGGTACAGTGGAATCTCGCTCGTGGAGAATTACAGGTCAAGAATAGTTTTTTTTGGCACAATCACCAAGTTTTTCCTGCAGCCTTCGCTACGTATCCTGCTTCTCGTGTGGTGATGAATCCGCTCGTTGGTGCTCGGGTCGAGGGAAGGCTGGCTGTTAGCGCAAAAGGGTCCAGATTTTCTGATTACTAGCTGGAGCATGACGAGAATGTCATCCAGTGCGACGTGGACAATCTGGTGCGCCACCATGCGTCTGTTTCAAGTGCAGACGATAATGACGCTACCGCACGGAAGATTGCGGTTTTCGCGGCAGCTAGCCCAGAAAACGTGTCGTCTGTTGTGGAGACGACCTGTGGTGAGACGGGGGTTATTTCGTTAGCTTCGGATCATATGCGTCGTATGTACACCCACTTCAGCGAGATTCCGCTAGTCGATTGCAGCCACAAGACGAATCGGTACGTCCTTTTTAAACGTCCAGGATAACAAGGGTTCTAACCAGGATTCTCCAATTTTTTTAGATACAGCTACCAGCTCCTCGCATTCATGGCAATGAACGAATTCGGCGAGGGTGCAGTCATTCAGCACTCGCTGATAGAGGCACACTGAGATTGGCACATGGAAAGGGCGATTGATCACTTCAAGCGCTCTCATCCTACACTAATTCAGTGTCTACGGGTCATTGTCGTTGATAAGGACCTGAACGAGATTCGCGTGTTGGAATCAAACTTTCCAGACGCCGGAATCTCTCATTTGTCACTTTCACGTGATCAAGTACCTGAAGGAAATGAGGTCGAAGCCAGAATTCGGGAAAGTTTCAGCTGAAGATGCAGGTCAGATCGACGGAGCCATTCACAAGATGGTATACACTGCCTGTAAAGGTTTTACGAGACTGCGCATGCATCTCTCAAGGGAATCTGTGAGCGATTGAGTCTTACTGGATTTTACGAATACTTCAAGAAGAATGGGATACGTGCCAAGATAGTTGGGTCTAATATTTACGAGCAAAGATGCCACACTTTAAGAATCATACCAATAATCGTTTAGAGAGTTTCTTTGGAAAGTTGAAATAAGACGTGGATGAATCTACGAGCATGGCGATGTGCGTGAAAGCGTTGGTCGT